CCCTCCCTGGGAGCGCCTCCAGCCTGGGGCCAACAAGGCAACCTCCAGCCAGCAATGCTCTTCTTGGGACACAGACATTACATTCCTTCCTGTTTGTCCTCAGTATCCACGGATCTGCCCTGCCATGCCCACAGCAGATGAATCTGGGCACAGCACCACCGGAGCCATCCCTGTTTACCAGGTTATTTGCTTTCCCTTTCTGCTCTGGCACATTTTGGCATCTGCAGGTGAGTCCAGCACTTATCTGATATCATTTTTCAGCTCAGTGAGAAACACAGCAAAGAGCAGCAGAGCAGCACTGAGGATCTCCCCACGAACCACTTCTGATCCATTCACCATGGGCTGCCCAGCGCTGGCCCGGCGCTGGATTTTGTCAGGCTGGGATGCACAATTAAGTCAAACACGACACAGAAGTCGAAGGACATCAAGTCAAGTTGTCTTTATTAGCTGATCTCGTGAACTAGTAAGAAAAATAGCCTGGAGGTTGCTTGGCAAGAGCAGGATCTGACACATCTGCAGGTTTGAGATGGCAATAATCCACCCGTCCTGCCCGATCCAGGATGGAGAAGCACGTGCCGTACCCTTGTCTTCATCCTGTGATGTCCTGTCATCCATCACCATCACTTCAGCATATAGAGAGGATTTAAATACTGCTTTGTGGAGAAGCCAGACATGTTGGGGACAAAGGCAGGTGGCAGGTGAGGACACCTTGGCACAAGGAGAGGGTGGCAGGAGCAAACACCAGGGGCTGGGGTGTCGTGCTGCCCATTTGGGGTCTCCAGGGATGGGGAAGGGGGTACTGGCGAGCACAGGCTACAGGCTGTGGCTGCCATGAGAGGTGCTTAAAGGTACTCTACCTTCCCTCCAGCCTTTCCATCCTTCCAGGAGCAAATCAAGGCCATTTCCTATGGAGGATCCCACAGCACCTGCCCTTGTGTCACCAGCTGCTGGTCACAGTGAGTCACTGCACACCCAGAGCTGGAAGATATTGAAGCATCCCAAAAAAATGACCATGCCATCCTCACATTCCCAGCTGTGGCTCCCCGAAGGACCTGATCAACCATAAACCATCCTGGCTGCCAGGAGTCTCCTCCAGGCTTCCCGGGCAGCGAGAATGGCAGAGGAGGGATGAGAGAGGAGAAAGGCTGTAGAGGAGAAAGCAGACTTGTTCTCTTGGATACAGCTGGGAATGATGAGTATTCAGACAGGGAAGAGGGATACCTTCCCGTCCCAGAAGGATCAGGTTTCTGCTCTGCCCTAAGAAAACACAACCAAAACGTTTTGTTCTGGGTGATTTGAAAGCATTAAAATGATGAATAAATTCAGAGAAAGAGGAACAGTAAAGGCCATCCTCTCTCCATCCTGTTTCTCAGCTTCATGTCATCCCTAAAGCCTCACTGGTATCCTGGTGCACTCAAACCCCTGGGGAGACTAAGGACCAAATTCCTTCTTTGCCTTTGCCCTCCCTCCCCTGCCTTGGCTGAGCTCCCCCAGCTTCCCACAAGGACTTTTTTTTGGCTGGTTTTGACTTTTTTGTTTCCTTTTGCATAAACTCAGTGCAGAGTTTAAGCTCAGACTGTCAAGAGCAGGAATTAGGCGGGAAGGCATCCAAGCATTGCTACCCTGGGTGGCATTCCCTAAAGGATCATCATAATTTACAGCAGGTAAAATATGATGTTTGGAGTGTGATGTCAGCCCTCTGAATGATTATTCTTCCCCCTGTCCCTTAAACATTCCACTCCAAGGAAAAAAGTGTGTGGAATGAAATCCAAACAGCTCAGATTGCCTGTTGATGCTGGGATGGAGCCATTCAGCTCCAGTGGGATTTGCATCTCCAGGGCTGGGAAGTGCAGAAGCAAGTTGGGACATCTCTGGGTTGGGTGGTCTACCTCTACATGGAGTAGGTAACAGCATGGAGAGTTAATCCAGGGAAAAAAACAAAAACTTGAGGAAACAAACATATTTGGGTTGAAAAAAAGCTTCAGCAAAATCAAAGAGGAAAAAAAAATGGGTTGAGGACAAGCAGAGAGATTTTCTTTGCCTCGGGACAATGTGTTTCTTTGCCCCAGCGCTATTTCAGGGGTTTGTATCCTCTACTTACATTCATTTTTAAATTAAGAAAAAATAAGAATAATTTAAAGGGCAGAAGTCAAACTGCTTTTTTTTGAAATCAGCAGCTTGTCAAGATGCCTGAAATAAAATATTTCATTAAAAGAAAGTCAAAAAGGCGAGAGAAAAGAGCTCAGAAGTTCCTCCAAGGGTGAAAGTTTGACCCAACGCTTCCCACACCCCTAAAACATCAATGCCCATCGACTGTACTCCCAGAAAAAGCTGCATGGAGGTCTCACAGTTTTTCCAAACATCTGTCCCTGGGATGGGACCTGGCTGGTGGGGCCACCACTAGGATGGACACCCAGTGGCTCCCAGATCCTGCTCTTTAGTGCATATGGTTCTCCCAAGTGGTGCCACCTCCACCCAAGCTGAGGTTTGCGGTGTCCTCGTGGTGAGTGACGACCAAGGCATTTTAGGAAGGGCCCAGGACATCACCTCTGCTTGGTTTTGGGATAAACCTGGAGGAAGTCTGCTGTCCCAGAGCAGGGAGTGACTCCTTCACTCTCCAGATCTGGCAGCTGGGAAGGACCCCACTCCGTGCAGGGATAACATCTGCATCTTGTCTCCCTTGTTTATCAGGGAGTTTACTCCAGAAAATCTAATCATCATTTTGGAGTTAATCCCTCTATCAAACCCTTACAAATCCCTTCACCCAGAAGTTTATTAATATTAGCTCCTCTCAAGCAGAAGCAAATAAGCGCCCATTTGGCTTTTTGTTCCCCTTCTCTCACCGCTGTTAACGGGAGCAATTCAATTAAGGAACAAACGACTTCCCAATAAAAATCCTTCCTCTCTGCCTCCCTCCTCCTTTCATTCAAGGACTAATAAGGTTTAACTGGGGAAATGAGCTTGGCTGGAGGTGCTGGAGGGGGAACACAAGCCCTGGCAAGCGCAGCCCCCACGGGCTCGGGGCAGAACAGCTCAGCTCATCCCAGGGAAGGGAGATGCTTGGCTAGGAATTCCCAAAAACTCCCTGATTTGCCAGGGGAAGGTCTCCCAGCCCCAAAGTGGCTGTCCCAGTGCCCATCCCGTTTAAGCACAATGGTCCATGAAGCAGAGAACCCTTAAAGGCTGCACCAAATTGGGATTGTGGATGGCCGGGAATGCTCTCCAGCTGCCCCATGTCTTGCTGATACTCCAAAAATCCCTGAGATTTCCTTCATCTTGATGCAAACCGTATGCATTCCAGCAAGAACTGCTGCAGATGCACAAGGATGTGGGGGTGAACCCAGCACCAGCAGCACTGGCTGCAGTGGAAGGCTTGGGACCCACATCCAGCACCAGGGAGAGGGGATAAAAACAGAAACGAAGTTTGAAAACAGGACAATAACTACGGATACAGCTTGCACTCTGCATGCAAAAACCCTCCTCCAAGGGGGCTCCAGGGGGTCTGAGCCCCTCTCCAAGGGGTCCAGTCAGCCTCTGCTGACTCCACCTCCCAGCACCGTTCGGCAGGCGCGGTCCCTGAGGAGCAGCACTGGAAGGGGAGGCTCAGCTCTCACAGGGAGCGGTGCCGCCCGTCAGCTCCGCTCCATCGCAAAGGCCACGGCATTTCCCGGCTGTCACAAAGGATTTGTTCGGTGCTGTACCCCCCCGCCCCTCCACCTCCTGCGGTGACAGAGCTCTCCGCTAAAACCTGGGGTGAGCCTGGGAAAGGAGGTCGGATCGCTCCATCCATCCCAGGCTCCCTCTGTGCGCTCGGCTTGGACCCGTCTGCGTCAGGGGCAGGAGGACACGAGGGACCAGGGATGCTCAGCCACGAGCTGAGGTGCCGCCTGCAAGGAGAAGACACGTGAGCAGGGACAGGGCACAGGAAAGGCATCAGCCTGGGAGAGCTCCCTGCTTGTACCCTTTAATTCCCCAAACCTCCTGCTGGAGTTGAGGGCCAGCCAGAGGAGTGACCCCCCCTCCCTTTCCAAGCTCTGCCTCTGCCATTCCCATTCCAGCTGAGACCTGAGGGGCTTTACCAGCACTGGAACTCTAATGCTGGCAAGAAAAATTCATGGCATGGTCTGAGGTGACCTCCTGACACGCTCCACTCACATTTCACCCCAGGGTCTGCCTGGTGGCTCAGCATGGAGAGCTTTCACACATTTTCCCATGGTTTTCCTTCCAAAACTTCCCCTTTCCCAGCTCTCAGAGCCATTCTCGGTGCTCTCTTGCCTTGCCCCAGGATGTGTTGAGCAGTGTCCCCTGCCCCGAGTGCCAGCACGGGAGGATGAGGGACGGGCACCCGCCTCGCTGGTGGCCACATTCCAGCAGCGGGAGAAGCGCTACAGGAATCCCTTTGGGAAGAAATGTCCTGGTGAAATGTCAGTGGGAGTTATCATAATGGGAGAGACGGGTTTGTCGAGCAGAGGATGGTTCAGATCAGGACAGATGCCTGTGGGTGTTTGACAAGAGCTTTCAACCCGAGGAAAGCTCTGGCCTCAGCCTCAGGACCCTTCCCGGGTGGACTTGGGGCTGGTAGAGGGATGGGGGTGGTACTGCCAGCAAGGAAAGGGCTGTGGGATGCTCTGGCAAGGGTCATGTCACCCAGACTGACCTATTTTTGGGCAGCAAGGAAAGCAGAGTCACACAGCTCCAACTCAGTCTTGCTAACATTGGACCAGGTTTCTTCTCCAAGTGGTTGGAAAGCCTCCAAGACAGGGCTGCAGCAAGGGCAGAGCTGCTGGGAAAAGAAGATTTCCAGGAAGCAAAGCAGATGGGCAGAAGAAAGGTTTTGTTTCCCCTCTCTGCTTCTTTGGGTCCCGAAGGAGACACGTTCCCAGCAGTCACATCGTCACCAGGACCTGCACCTGGGTCTCCTCCAGATCCATGTTCCTTCCAGAACAAGGATTTGTGTCCCTGGAATCTGCCAGGGAGCTTGGCAAGACCTGGCTTGTGAAGTTTATGGGGTTACCCACACGCAGAGGGGTCCCATCTTTATCCCATCAGGGTCGTCACATCCAGCCCATGTTCCCTGCAAGTTGGGCCTCCCCTTAGGATGGTCAAAGAGGTGGATCCCCAAGTGTGGTCATCCAGGCACTTCCAGCAGGGGGGTCATCACCTGAGGAACGACAAAAGTGACAGTGTTATCCATGGGGGATTGGGAAAGGGGTTACCTCACCTCCAGAGGCTGAAAATAGGAAAAAATTTTCAATCTGCATCAACATTTTCTTCTCCTATGCAAGGAGAAGACCCCAAGCTGCCCCACAGGGCTTCTAATACGGTCTTTGCCCCTCCTTTGGCTTCACTGAAGGGGTGGCTGCTCATTAGTGAGCGCCACTAATTAAGAGGAATGAACCTAATTTGCAAAAGCAGAGTTAAGAGGCTCTACTTGCTCCCCTCTGCAGCTGGGAACAGCTTTGGAGGGGATTATTCAGCCACTAGACCACAGTGAGGGCAGTAAATGTTGGACACGAGTAAGTCCCACCTGAGAGGAAGCAGCTCCTCTGGGTCTCACAGGCACTTTCAGACCCAGATCACAGAATTCCAGCAAAAATCCGGCTTTCTTTTTCCATGACACAGTCAGAGAAAAGCACAGTTGAAAGTCTTTCCAAACCTTGACGTGCCTGCCTTTGATTTCTTCAAAACAAAATGAGGTTTCCACAAATAAATTAATTTCTTTTCAACAAGATGTTTCCTGGCAGGTCCTCTGACACCTGCTGACCCAAAATGGAAACTTGAGACATTATTTTTTTTTCCCCTAATAAAGATACAGTTCACATTGACCCAAATTTTGAGCTTTGCTGTTGTTAGTTTTGCCTCTGGACAGCAAATGGAAGAAGCAGCTGCTCTCCCATCACCAGGGGACACCCAACTGATGCATGATGAGGAATATTATGAGGCATCCAGGTGGGATCAGCAATTCCCACACCTCTGAAGGAGGCCAAGAGGAGATGTGGAAGCTTGCAAGCACAAAGCACAAAATAAGAGTGAGGAGATGTTCTTCCTGGCTTTAAGAACTCATTGCTGGCTTTCAGCATGTCCTGGCACAGGGATGCCGGAGGCTGAATCCAGACCACAAGGCTTAAAATCCCCTGGAAACCTCTTCTCCACGAGCTGGTGAAGCCCAATTTGTCCTCCAGAGCATCCTGCAGCAAGAAGTCCCATGAGTGAACATCTCACCGTAATGAAAAAAGAAAAAAAAATCAGACGATTTGGAGTATTTTGATTAAATTAAAAGACACGAACCAAATTACACAGGACAAGCTCTGCCTGGGATCTGCCAGGGAGCTTGGCAAGACCTGGCTTGCCGGTGGAAATGGAGAAGGAGGAGAAAGCTGAGCCACCAGTGGTTCCTTGAAGCTCTTGGTTTCACCTTTAATGTATTTCAGTGCATGATTCAAGCACATTATCTGCATGAAATGCTGCATTAGCATCAAAATGAGGGGAGTTCTGTTCGATATATTAAAGTGGCTCTGATGGGTTTGAAGGGAGCTTAGCGCAGGAGAGGCATTAAGGAAGTAAATGCCACATTTGTATTCAAAAGAGCTTTCTTTTTTTTCATTTAAAGCCATTGATCTAAGAAGTGGTGCTTAAGACGGGCTTATAAAAGCGGGAGTGCATCTTCCCTGGGAGACAAAGCTCTGTGTTTATGGGGAGTGGGAAAGGGAAGCAGAGAGCCCATTTGGAAAATATATGGCACTGGGGGTTTGGCATATCACCCTGAGGAGCCAAGGGCAGGGAGGGACAGGGCCTTCAGGTGCCACCACCACTCTCTGCCTAATGTGTCCTACATGGTGCCTTTTTTTGGCTCAAGTCTGGAATTAAAAATGGCTTTTCCAGGCTGGCAACGCCCACCATGCGCTTTCCCCGGTAAACACCCAGTTTGCCTTTTTATGCTAAATTTCAAGGAAAAAAATTATCTTATTTAAGCACTTTAATAGTTTTTTTTTGTTAATTAGGGTGGGTTTTTTAATTGGGATTTTTTTTAAAAAATTAGGAATTTTTTTTAAAAAAATTAAATTTCTGCGTGAAAAAACAGCTTTGGACTTTTCACTGGAACATCAAAAGTCAAAGTCGCATCAAAGCAAACATCACTGACGTCGCCACCAGGACAATTTCCATGGTCTTGTGCACTAAGAATTTTAAAAAATGGTAATTCTGCTTCAGAATATTCTTTATATCTTTACGCCACTGAACTAGAAAAAGTCTCTTTTGTAGCTGGTTCTGAGAAAAGCAGTTTTTCCCCCAAAATCAGGCTCCGCGCCACAGTCCTGTTTAAACCACAATGAATTTTTCTTGCTCTGTTAATGCCAGGCAAGGAGCATTTTAGCTAAAAACGCCGGGATTTCTGCTGAATTTGGGAGATCAAACTGGTTTAGTTTCATTATCTGAAGCAAACAGAAACTGCCCTGAAAGCTCGGGGCCAGCGTTAACTGCCTTCATCCATCTTTGCCACCTCCAATGGCAATTAATAGTCCCTTGTCTTTCCAAACTGAGAAAGCAAGGGGTTAAATTAATTGCTTCTGACCACTTAATGAATCAGGGAGAGACCCTGGGAAGCTCCTCTTGCCTCTGCCTGCAAATCAGCCAGAGGAAAAATACACTTTTCTTGGCTGAGATGCATCGCTTATGGAAATATTTATGCCTTGGAGCTGCCACGGGTGTGACACCCTCCAGACTTGGAGCTGCTGGAGGTTGGTCACCCTGGGAAATTCCACCACGTGTGGCCCTCGGGGTGAATTAAATAAATCAGAATATTCCTCCCATGGGAGCTGAAATCAGAATATTCCTCCCATGGGAGCTGTGAGCAGCATGGGGAGATTTTTGGGGGTGTCCAGCCCAGAGCACAGTTGGACGTGCACCGGGACCTCCAGTGACACGGTACCAACCTGTCACCGACATCATCCCTCCCTGGAGGGCCGTGCCAAGAGGAAAACACACCAAGGAAAAGCTGGACATCGTACAAGCCTTAAAAAATTAACAGCCCCTTCCTGCCAAGGGCACTGAAGGCCAGCCTGAAGGATGTGGCTTTTGTCACTCAGCCTTCCTCCCTGCTCCGTGCTCTTCCTCCGTCACCCTACAAAGCAAACCTGGCTGGCTTGGGGACATTCCAGCACTCCCCGCCTTTCCACCCAGCTGTCCCAGGGGACACTCAGCCCCTGGAGCATCCCCCAAGCCCACCCATGGGGATGGGACTGTTGGCTGGAAGAGCATTCCTGAATTTGGGGGGGAGAGGGGGAGGGTGGCAGACGCTGCTCCCGCCCAGATATCTCCCACTCCCGATTTTCTTTCCCATCACAGCTTGTTTTCTCCCTCCTCCCTGGAGCAGGTTGTCATGTCACAGAAGAAGGGAAGGAAACAATGCGGAGGAAATTGATAAGCATGGCTTGAAAGCCAGAGAAAGGGAACATTTGCCTGGGAGAAGCTGTGATTAGATCCGTGTGTGTGTCCTCTGCCAGCACTCCTAAAAATAGAGCTTGGCTGCACAGACTGTCACACGCATGCAGACATGCTCTCGCTGGAGCTATATTTACCAGCCTTGGAGACAGCCAGATTCCCAGGAACGAGCCGTACGTCCCCCCGGGACCTCCACAGAGGGGTCGCACGGCCGGGAAGGGACCACAGGGGTGAGGAGAGACCTTCCTGAGCATCCCTGGGAGCTGGGGGGCACGGAGAGACATGGGTGGGGAGCACCAAAACAGGGAGCTTCGTTTCTGGAAGGTCCTGGAGAACATCTAGAAAAGCAAATCTCTTGATTTGGAGAGACACACGTGGGACAAACAGAGGCCACCCAGACGGCCACATGCTCGTGGTCCCACCCTCAGCATAGAAGCAGCCCTCAAAAGGGATATTTATCCCCCAACCCCTCTTCCCATTTTGACCCAAAAACCCAGCGTTTGTGGCCAAGTCTTCCAAGTGCAACATCTGGCCAGCACAAATATCTACATCCACAGGCTGAAGAAGGTTCTCAGAGAGCTCCAGTCCTTCTCCACTGATGAGACCATGGCTTGGTGCCATCAGCCGTGGTGCTGCACTCCTGGATCTGGGCATGAAGAGGTTTGGAAGGAGGAAGGTCCCACAGCTGCTTGTTGGAGAAAGAAAAACTGGAGCATGACCTACATCGCCCGCTGGAAAGAGGCTCCTCCGCCCCCCACTGCACTCGTTGGCCTCGTGATAGAGCAGGGAGTGTTTAAAGGGACAAAATTGAGGCATTTGAGTCATATTCATGAGGTTTCTGAAGAGGATGTTTGAAGACCGAGGTATTATTATCCACATATGTCTTCCCAGAGGTTGCGTGCAATTAGCATTATTCACAGATATGCAATTAGCATTAGCCAGAGATATGTATTTCGGGTGGGAAAATAAGTGTTTTTCTTCCCGGAGAAGTTGTTTTGTGCGCAGTTTGCTCAGCTCGGAGTGCTTTGGTCCGACTGGAAATTGGAGAAGAGCCATTTGCCCCGGTTTGCCCCTGAAAACGGAGAGGCCAGCAGCAAAGGGTGCTTCTGCAACTGCAGTTTTTGTTCAAGTAGTGGATTTTGGATAAGCTAGAAGTGCCTGCAGAGCCAGTGGGCACCTACACAACCAACTGGCCCGTTGCCACCTGCGGCATCGTTCCCTGGGGACCAACAGCACATCCCCAGCAGCTCTGCCTTCCACTTGTCCAGCGCAGAGCGTCCACCCCAATCCTGCGCCATCTCCAGGAAAATGAGTCTCGTCTCCAGATCCAGGACCTGAACCATGGCTTTGGTTGCAAACCTTCCCCTCTGACGCCCGGAGGTGATGCTTGGCTGCAGGTGGGGGAGCAGGGTGGTATCTCCAAGGGTGGGTTCGTTTCCGTGGCCTCCCAGAAAAGCAGAAATCTTCCCCCACGGGAAGGGCAACGGGTGCTGCTGTGACCCACCTTCATTTTGCAACTCAAATACCCTCTGTTTAACCACCTGGACGTAATATCACCTTGTGAAATGTCATTACCAGAGGGCAAGAGGTGAGTTCCACCCCACCACAGAAATGCAGGAGCGTGGAGCAGCTCGTTCTGTGACCCCAGACACCCAAACCTGTGCACTCAGAGCTCCTGGACTCACCAGCCTCGGAGGAAAACGTGGAAGGTGGTGCAGGAGAGACTCTCCAAGAGTGAAGGATTGAATAGGTTCCCTGTGCCAACAGCCACGTGTTTTGAAAGGAAGCTGCAGCACCCTAAATCATGGCAATAAACACTAAGACATCCGGCTTTGATTCAGCTCGGTGAAGAGCCGGGGTATCTGCAAAGAGGTGGTTCATAAACCAGGAATTTGAGGGTCACTTAGTAGGGACAGCTCCATAAATCCAATCCTTTCTCCTCTCTAGCTTAAAGTTTAAAAGCCCAGGAAAGGGCAAGGTCTAGACCTAAAGAGATGCTCAACCACCTGCAGGAGATGTCCTTGGCATGAGGACTCCAGACAATCCTTCACTCACAACCACGCTGCAAATCCCACTCACCTTGCTCCAGGTGGATCCTCCCTCCATCGGTCACCATATCTGTAGGGTCCTTTGGACTGAATCCCACTGGTCTCTGGAGACACCAGCGCTCTCAGGAGAAGAATAAATCTGGCAAGTGATGCTTCACAGAGCTTGTCGGACAAGGTGGAGGATGTTGAGTTGGTGGCTTAAAGTTCCTCGAGGGCACCAGTTGCTTGGAGCTGGGTACAGCAGGTGACCTGCACTGAGGTGGGACTGCAGAGCACAGCTCAGGAGGACCCCACCCCTCAAATCCATGCAATGCTGTGGGAGCTCTCATTCCCAAATCCTCCTCCCATCCTCCCAGGAGGCAGGTTAACTTAAGGACACAAGGACACATCACAAAGGTAGACAGGGACTAACGGTCAAGCCAAGAGCAGATCCCAATTCCCTGACCACACCGTGGGCTCCAAGAGCAGCCAGGCCTCACCACACACCCAGCCTAGCTTCCCAGCTCAAAGGGACCACAGGGACCACCACAAAGTCCTGTTTTTTCCTTCAGAAAGAGCCAAACTCTGCAAAACCATGTCATTTGTCACCAGCAGCTCTCGCTCCAGGGCATCCCATGCCAGCTGGCTCCATGCTGTGCCAGTCCCCAGTGTCACTCCCTGCTCTTCCTTGCTGCAGCCAGGGACCTCTACAAATAAATAATGCTCTACTCCAATCTGTTGGAGCAAGCTGGCCTCCTCCATGCCTCTGGGGAGGGTGGCAGATGAGGAAGGGTTGAGGATCTGCATGGAAAACACCTGCCTGTCGCCCAGAAATGCTTCTAAAAAGCAAAGAGATTGCCTGGGTGCTCTAAAAATATCTGAAATTCAGAAATTTGACACTGCGTCTATCGAGAAACCAGCACCAGCTTCCAAAACATCTCGGCAATGCCAGGAGAGGTGCCAAGGAGCCCCAGAGCATCACATTAATGGCATGAAGATATCCAGGAGCTGGTGGCCTGGGGTGAAGGGTGGTTTGCAGTGGGTGGAGACCAGAATAAGCACCAGCACAAGTTCACAGAGGAATTATTCACTTGCAAGCAGCTCCAGGATGCAGGGAGATGGCCCTGCCTCCCTCCTCAGAGCTGTCAAACCCCTTCATTTCCCCAGCAAGAGCTTTGTTCAGCACAAGTGGGCTCTGGAGCTAATGTACAAATTATCACAGAATATGCTGAGCTAGAAGAGACCCACAAGGATCATCAAGTCCAACCCCTGGCCCTGCACAGGACCATCCCCAACAGTCACACCAGGTGCCCCAGAGTATTATCCAAATGCTCCTTGAGCTCTGTCAGCCTTGGTGCTGTGCCCACAGCCCTGGGGAACCTGTTCAGTGCCCAACCAGCCTCTGGGGGAAGAACCTTTTCCTGAGATCCAACCTAAATCTCCCCTGACACAACTTCAGGCCATTCCCTGGGATTCTGTCCCTGGTTCCCACAGAGCAGAGATCAGTGCCTGTCCCTCCTCTTCCTCTCACAAGGAAGTTGTACCTGCAGTGAGGTCTCCCCTCAGACTCCTTCTCCAGCTGAACACACCAAGTGCCCTCAGTGTCCTCCACTGGGCTTCAAATCAAGGTCCTTCCCCATCCTTGTTGCCCTCCTTTGGACACTCTCTAGTGGCTTCATGTCTTTCTTTTGTCACAGTGCCCAAATCTGCCACAATATTCAAAGTGCAAAAACACTTCTCCCCAGCCCTGGCTATGGAACACGGGAAAATAATAAATAATCCCTTTGGGATGGGATTGCACAGCATCCTTGTCTCCAAGGACAGGGTGAGGGTTCCCCAGGCCCTTGGCCAGCACGACACTTTCCCATGACCATTGCTGAGACGGGAAGATGCAAAACTCTCTGGGTGGGAAGGAGCCCATCAGAGGGCGAGAGGACGTTGTCTCAAGCTGTGCAGGGGATGTTTAGGTTGGACATCAGGAAGAATTTCTTCACAGACAGGGTGATTGGACATTGGAATGGGCTGCCCAGGGAGGAGGTGGCATCACTGCCCCTGGCAGTATTCAAGGAAGACTGGATGTGGTACTGGGTGCCATGGGCTGGTTGGCACAGTGGTGTTGGGTCATGGGTTGGACTCAGTCTCCAAGGTCTTTTACAACCTACTTGATTCTGTGAGTCCCAGCTGAAAAAACAATGCCAAAAAAGCCCAATCCACAGGGTGTAGGTCCTCTTCCTCAACCAGAAGACTCAGGGATGAGCTCTGGGGCAGCATTCCCAGGGCACAGCGACCACAGTTCCCTCTGTAGCTTCTCTGACTCTGAGGGTGACCGTCTGATGCAGGTCACCCCTAAGGATCTGGAGTCACAGGCAGAGCACCTGCAATCAATGCAAACCAAGCTCAGATTCACCAAGTCTGAAAGGAGAAACCTGCTGCCAGGGCCTCAGTGTGGAACCCCAGAACCCCAAAACAGGGATGTCCCAACAAACCCTGTATGTGTGAGCAATAGAAACAGAATTATTCATGCAAATTATTAGAGGAGCAATCTCCAAGAGCAGAGTGTAACATTCAGCTGGTAACATTCAGCACCCACTTTTCAAAACAAGATGTAAATCCTGCTGGAAACAAGATGTTCCAGAGAGGAAGCTGAGATGAGAAGGTACAGGGGGACACATCAATTACAAATTGTCAAGAAAAATTAGTAGCTGGGTAGAAAACAAAGAGAAATCCTTGGAAGAAAAGCAGTTCTGGAGCTGGCTGAGACCCAGTCACAACCACCCACCCACTCATAATAGGGGAGAAGATACAGAACCCCCAAACCACCACTAAAACCCTTATCTTTGCCTTTTTTATGTGCCCATGTACTGTCCTCTGCTCCACATCCAGGAGCCATGGCTGTGAGAGGCCAAAGGCAGCTGAGACCCTCACTCCTGAATCCACAGAGAACACAACATGGATGGACTCTCAGGATGCAGGACACAAAGCAGCCCAACATTTTGGAAGAGTGTCCTGAGACTCAAAAGGTAGAGGAGACCAACTCAGCCAGGGCTTGTCAGAGCAGAGCTCACCAATAACCAAAGACCCCCCTGAGGGCAAATCCATCCCCTGCTCATCCCCATGGGATGCAGGAGCAGGTCAGCCTTTTGTCCCATGGTTAAGCCAAGTAGGAGACCCCAGGTAATTCCCACAGGACATACGGGGAACAGCTGGTGAAAGAAGTCACCAGGGAGCCCAGGCACGTATCAACCACATTCTGCAAAATGGACCAGGGTTATCTACCTCTGAAAAAGAGCCCAGGGCACAAAAGGTGGACAAAGTTTTCATGGAAGAGGGAAAAATTCAAAGCTGCTTTAATCCCATGGCAGATCCTCCACCCAGCTCATGCTTCCAAACTCATTAGCTGCCATCCGATTCTTCCTTGACAGCAGGATCGTTAATTTTGCACTTCCCAAAATAATATTTGCCAGGCAGCACTCTTCACTATGATTAAAACAATATTGGGCACTAAAAATATCCAGCTCCTGGGGGAATCCTGCCTGCCCGAGACAACAAACTGCTGAAGGCACAGCTAGGAGGATCTTCGTTCCCATTAAAGGCAAAGAGGGACTGTGCTCTGCAATGGGGGTGTCAGGAGGGATGGAAGGGGAAAAGCGAGAGTGAGGAAGGGACAAGAAGGGTGGAAAGGGTTCTCTCAGGCATGAGATACCTGGGATGGCAGAGCCAGGGCTGGGGAAGGGGTGGTTGGCATCTACAGGAGGTGAAGTCCTCCACCTGGAGATGACCCAGGCAAGTGCTGGTGCTGCCTCTGGGCTGGGGCAACCCCCGGCATCAATCCAGGCTGGGGAAGGGATGGATTGAGAGCAGCCCTGGGGAGAAGGACTTGGGGGTGCTGGTGGAAGAGAGGCTGGACAGGATCCAGCTCAGAAATGCCCCCATGTGCTGGGCTGATCCCACAGCGGGGGCAGCAGGGGAGAGGGGAGTTCTGCCCCTCTGCCCTCTCAGGTGAGACCCCCCTGCAGAGCTGCCTCCAGCTCTGGGCAACAACAGCACAAGGAGGTGAGCTGCTGGAGAGAGTCTAGAAGAAGCTACCAAGATGATCAGAGGAATGGAGCACTTCTGCCACAAGGAAAGGCTGAGAGAATTGGGATTGTTCAGCCTGGAGAAGAGAAGGCTCTGAAGTGACCTAATTGTGGCCTTCCAGTACCTGAAGGGAACTAACAGGATGGAGAAAGACTATTGACAACGGGTTGGGGGGACAGGCCAAGGGGGAATGGCTTCCCACTGCCAGAGGGAAGGGTTAGATGGAACATTGGGAAGAAATCCTTCCCTGTGAGGGTGGTAAGGCCCTGGCCCAGGTTGCCCAGAGAAGCTGTGGCTGCCCCATCCCTGCAAGTGTTGAAGGCCAGGTTGGACAGGGCTTGGAGCAACCTGGGATAGTGGAAGGTGTCCCTGCCCATGGCAGGGGGTGGAACAAGATGAACTTTAAGGTCCCTTCCAGCTCAGGCCATTCCCCGACTCTATGATTCCGTCAGTATTTTCCCACATGGCTCCAGGAGCTCCCATTGCTGGTCACATCATCTTCCCCAAGGGGTTACACCACTCATAACTCCTGCCAGCTAATGGATAAAACATCTGCGTGCAAGCACTTCATTATTCAACCAGCCCCCATGGCCACATACAATTCATCCAGGCAAATATTTGTATTTTTATTCCATCAAGTAGCAAATAAATTATCAGGCAGCACCCGCTCCCAGCAATGAGGAATCACCCCCGAGAGCATCTCTTCATCGTGGTGGCTTCGTGTTTGCCAGTCCATCCATCCTCTGTACAGTTTTTCCCCTCTTTCCAACATAAATATATCTCCATTGGGGTTTTTCCTATTTATTCTTGTGCCAATATTGTCTTTTCACTTAACCCCTCCCCAGTCCCCTGGTCCTCTCTCTCCCCAGGGCATTGCCCGGTGCCCACGGACTGCACAACTTCCCCGGCGCCAACGTTGTGTTTCTGGGCCACGAGCTGCAAAGCCTCGTGCCCTTCCCCAGCTAAATCATTAATCACCACTCCTCTGATCCCATGATTTGCATGGCTGGCAGCCAAGGTCACTCCAGGGAGGGCTGCCTGGTGGAGATCAGCCTCTGGTGGATGCCCCACCACCTCCAACAGTCCGGGCAGCACAAGGACCTTCTCGGCAGCTGTTGGGGCAGGTCCCTGCAGAGCAGCCCCCATGGTGAGCTCCAGTTCCAAACTCTGCCTGCTCCCCGTTCCCTTTGATCTCCCCTTCATTAGTCCTTCTCCTCCGCTTTTGAACGTAATTAATACTTCCCTGATCAAAAGCCCTGGCCAAGGAGAGTTTTAACAACTCTTGTTTCACTGCATGTTCCCATTAAAGGAGGGCTCGGGCAGAGGGGAGGAATGAGACCTCGTTTGGAGCCTCAAAATTGCAGTAGTTTCTCATCCCTTTGCCCAGACCCCAGGATCTCACCGTCAGCAGTCAGAGCACACCGTGTCCTGCTTCTTCCCAGCCCTCACATTCTCCAGGGGACTTGGGACCTATGGGTTGTTTGGGGTCTGGCCAAATACCCACCTGAGCCAGCAGCAGCAGCCAGAGGACCAGGCAAACCATAGGGAGGTTTTTCCCAGCACCCAGGTGCTGTCCCCTCACTCCCTAGCTGGCAGAGAATCGTGTCCTAAATAATCTTCCCTGGCTTCTACGTCCAGCCCCAGCCTGTCCCAGTTCTCATCACTCGGCATCAAACTCCAGCCCAAGCTTGGAGCAACCCTGAGCCCCTCCAAAAACTCTTATAACTCAATGAGAAGCTTTGCTGTTGGGCCACTTGGCAATCACATAATCCAAGAACTACATGATCAAAAACCTCTGGTTTAACCTCCTTGACTGCCTCAATCCACAAAAGAGATCCCACAAGGTCTTAGCTGGCTCGTGGGGCCATGGAAAGCAGCCACAATTGCTGAGATGGGGAGGGACAGCACAGAACAGAAGGTGGTTCCTGAGACTATTTGGGCACCAAAACCTGGCTTGGTCTCCCCATGGACCATCAGATGCTGCTTGTAAGGGCTACAAAGCAGCACTTGAAGTCTCTGCTGCTGCCCACACACCCTCACTGACCAAACCTCCCCATCCTGGCTGAGCCTGAGCTGAGCTGCAGCCCAAGTCTCCAGGAGGAAGGTGTTGATCCAACTCCCAGCCTTTAATGCACAGGAGGGTCTCCTGAGCCTCAGCTCCTCCCAGCACGGGATGAAACACCATTTCCCCAGGGGAAAGGAGGTGCTGATCTTACATTTTCACCTGTCAGCAAGCAGGTTTCAGCTTTGCTGAGGGGAAAAGAGCACAGAACCACCCTCCAAAGCGTGTTCAGCCGTCCCCGATACACCCGAGACATCCTGATTTGATCAAAGGACGCTGCCCACACACATCAGCATCCTTCCCCCTCCAGCTCAAACCCAGAAGGAAACCAAAGGTATTTTTCCATCCAAACTTGCTTTTTTAGCCTGCTGGTGTCCCAGTCTTTGCCTGAGCCAGGCCAGCAGAGTGTCCCACACAGGGACCTGCCGGCACCGGAGCCAAGGTCACTCCACCCAGGTGACATTACCCAGCAGGCACATCCAAGGGCTTGGCTTTGCTCCCTGGCACCGTCAGCCTGGCCAGACCTTGCAAAGTCACATAAGATGACATTTTCCAGAGAATTTAACTCACCCTGATAAAAAGCCAGCTAAAAAATCCTCCTGTCTGTACATATTCCTGCTGGGAAACACTGTTCCGGGGAGGAACAGGCTGTTTTCACTGGCATTTACTTGGGAAAGAAAGGGAACAAGCTCCTTCCCGAGGTGGGAACCACACGAGGTGATTGTTTCCTTTGAAAAGGCGTTTGGTTAGGCTCTATTTTTTATTTAATGCTGCAGCAGCACGATGAGACAGATCTGTTCAAAGGGAAAAGGAGAACACGACGCTCTGATCCGCTCGGACAACTCCAAACAACCCCCCCCCAACCACGGCTCAGCTTTCCCCTTCCTGAAAATGTTGATTTATATTCCACCTGCAAACGAGGAGGAAACAGAGCAGCCAAACACCCCACAATGCTGAGCCCTCAGGCATTTAGGGAACGAGCCTCTGCCCCCCAAAACATGGGGGGGTTTATCTCCTTTTATGCTTGTAATAAGCAGATGGAGGATACACACTTCAGGGTAAAGAGCAGGGGAAAGCCTGGAGCTTTTTGGGTCAGGAAAGCTACCCAAAAAATAATTTCAAGATGTGTTCACAACCTCTCCTTTGCCTAAAGCTGCTGCCACAGACACAAGTCACAGCCCAGCAACTGGAAAACATGGCCTAGGAGCAAAGGTTTTATTTGCTCTGCCTTAGCCTTGTGCTGATAAACATAAGAAGGTGGGAATGGGGTGATGTTGCACCTTGTGGTGTCTTCTGGGGACCCAGTTCCAGCTCTGGAAGCTTTCACGGCTCAGCAGGGCTGGCCCTTGGATGTAGCACAGGGAAGGAGCAAATGAAGTTAAATAAAGGAGGTGCAGTGCTCGTTCTGAGGAATGAAGAGCTCACAAACGCAACAAAAAGCCCAAATCACGTTAAAAATAGAGCAGCAGAGCAGAGGGGACACTCATTGCTTACCACAGCCCAGGGCAGCCTGGTCCTGCTCCCACTGCTGCTCCTCCAACTCCATCCTGCAGCAATGCAAAATCCATTCCCAGGGACCACAAACACAACAGAGCTGCCAGAACCTGCACTCAGCACTTGTGCAAGATCAGAACTGGGGCAACAAGGTGGGTTTTTTGGTCTGGTTGTCCTTGCATCCCTTAAGATGACACACCATAGCTCAGATCCCAGTCCATGCTCCATGCCATGCTCTGGCCGCTCCCCTCCTGCCTAAGCTCCAGCTGCCAGCAGGAAATGTCTGTTATCACTTAAAATCCATTTTAATACCACTTAAAAATCACTTAAAGTTACTCTAAACTTCTTTGCCAGTGAGGAAATGTGCCCTCTGAAGTCCCAGGAGAGCAGGACAGCTGCTTCAGCATCTGTCCCAGGCTGGAAAAAATCCATCCAGCTCTGAACACCCATCAGAAAGCACTAAATAAAGAGACGAGACAGACTGAGCATCTCTGGACAGGGAAAAACCTGTAAAAATTTATACTTTTATGCACCCAGCAGCAGAAACTGGGAAATATTAGGAAATATTGGGGATATTAGTAGATATTTTATAGGCCCATTTTATGTCAATTCCTCCCCTTCCCACCCAGTACAGTCATTTCTTGCTGTCCCGCTGCGTCTTTCCAGAACAGGAAAAATAAAAGGGATAAGCAGAGAGACAGGGATGCAGGCTCAGGGAATCTCCATTGGAGGAGTCAGGGCTGGAGGCACTAAGTTACAGAGGTCATGGAGTTTGGGACTTTTTTTCCCTCCTTCCTTCTCTGTTGTTTCCTAGTGGAATGACATAACCCTCTCAAAGCTATTTTAAGCCCTCATGACTCGTTTCATCTCAGGACAGATGCTGATCCCAAAAGCCGGAGGTAATTCCCACACGGCAGCATTATTCCAGGAGCGATGGCACAGCCTGGGCTGGTCACCTTTTATAGATGCTGAATAAGTTTCTAAAAATACCTGAATTTTTTTTTCTTTGGTAACAGAAACAAGGGAGCTGGAGAGGGGAAAAATATCCCAGTTTGCCTTTCCTGATGCATTTCCTCACCCCTGAGCTCACCAGAAGACACTGCTGGGGACAAACAGCCCAAATTCTCCTTCCAGAGCCCATCCCAGACACTCATTTTGGGATACATCACGAGGGCTGAAGGTTTTGACCACATTTGGGTATCAGGGAAGATCCTTTCTTGGGGCATCTCTTCCCAGGACACTTCTTTGAGCAGGGAGGAGCATCTAGAGCTACCATAGGGGCAAGAGATGGGCAAGGACAAGGTCCAGGAGACATTTCAAGCTTTGACCTCTGGGTTGGCACACATCCCCAGGGATCCTCCTCCACCTCTGAGCTCCCATGTCTTCCAACCTTTTTCCCACTTCCTTGCACAAAACGAGTTTGAGGAGTCTCAGCCTCAAACCCCATTCAGTGAGGGGTGGGGTGGCTTTTTGGGACATCTCCGAGCTGTTGGATTTGCAAAGTAACTGTACACTCATCTTTTGGATGCCCCAGGGAACACACAAAAGTTGCTGGATCAACCCTAGTCCTGGAACTGGGGTCCAACAAGAGGCTGTGGTGTTCCTGCTCCTGCAGCCACAGCATCCCTGGGGTTTCCCACCAGGCAAACATGCCTCCAAAATAAATCCAACCCTCCCTCCTGGTCCCAGCACCCTCCTCTCCCTTTCTACAGCTGGGCAGGAAGGGCTCAAGGTGGGAGTCACAGGGGGAAAAGCAAGGGAAGAAAACCCTGGTGAGATGGGAATCTGCAGTCAGTGCTCAGCCCTCACCTCCAAACAGCACCCAATTCCCACGAGAGGGTGACTGTTCCCTTTCACATCCAGTTATGCCCCTCCAGGAGACGCAAGGGGAGTTTGTGGGATGCTCTTGTAAACAATCCATCCTATTTTTCCTGTGAGTTTTAAGGGAATAAATACATATATTGCAGTTGCTTCTACACTGAAGCACTTTGCTCAGTAAGAAGAGAGGGAGCAAGGCAGGGAGTGATGGTTAATCCAAGCCTTGCAGCAAAGATCCTGGAGTCAGGAAGGTTGAACTGTGTGACTAAAGTGGTGCTGTCTGAAGTTCCAGGCATGGCACACACAGAAAAGGAGGTTTGAGAAAAATTTTTCTAATCCTTTCCAAGTTCTGAAGATTTAAATCCTTGGCATTTTCATCGAGGGCGTTCCAGCTCACGAGGAGGAACAGATCCCCTCTGAGCCCACCCAGAGCCAAGTCACAAGGTTCAGAGCCCTTTTCCACAGCAGCCTTCCCACCTCCCATCCCTTCCAGGACCTTTCAGCAAAAATAAATCAGTCACAGAATTATTTATGTCTGCTTTCCCCCCAAAGCCCAGAAGCAGCCAACTGGATTCTGTTCAGCCTATCATCTCAAAAGGCTCCTGAACAAGGAGAGGAGCCCAACACTGGAACACGCAGCAGATGACTTTGAAAACTCCAAATAACTACAGTGAGGAAGCAGCTGGGAAGTCCCCAGATGGACAGACACAGCCCTTCGGGATGTCCCGTGCCCTGCAAGGTCTCCATTTCTTCCTGAAGAGGTGCAAGAAGGGGGAATGAGAGGGAGAAGAGGCCACAGGTTCTGGATCTGCTCATCCAGCTCAGCCTGTCTTCCGCTGGAGTAAGAAAGGCTTTGAGACAACTCCTGCATCCTCAAGCAACTCACCTGGCCCCAGGAACGCCAACTTTTGCTTTCAAATCAATAAAGAGCAGGTAAAAATTCAGTATAACCACATCCACACGAGGAGTAAGGCTCAAGAGCAGATGGGAGAAAGGATCTGCTGATGGAGGAGCTGAAAACCCAAGGCAAGAATCAGAGCAGGAGACTAGGGGATGGACATCTAAAGCTCACTTCTTCCCCAATAATCCTGGGGAATGGGGACAGGACCCCACTCACCTCCATTTTCTAAGCTCTTGAAATCTGAGCTCTAAGAAATCTGGAAATCCCAAACTTCTCTAGGCTACAAATGTCTTTCCACCAGGCTGGTGGATGGTTCTGCTCCAACCCAGCTCCTGCATCTC